CCCCCCCCCTTGTTTATTCGATACCATAGAGTACCGGCGATCGACGTTGAATTAGGAGGTACATGTACTTACTCTTACATAACTTAACACTGTTGCAAGGAGCGTTATATCTATACAAGTTCTCATTTTCCCCATACTTTTTGATCGATGTGATTAACAGCTTCAGTATCTTCAGCCACACCCTTAAATACACCTTGACGAGGGTCATTTCTTAAAACTTCATGGCTTTACTCCATTGCCGTCAAAATGGCTTGAACATCCATTATGTAACAGTAAACGTTGTTCGTCCAGAGCAAAGATAAATCTTGCAGGATGGCAATAAACGTTTTCAGTCTAAATTGGATTTACCCACAAAATATCCAAGGATGTGAATGGCAATGATCCACCACGGTTGAGTATAAGCGAACATGTGTATTTTCTTCTACATGATGTTTTACACCATCTCATTAGTCTGTCTTTTGTGCTTTTGGTTTTATGCAATATAAAAAGCTGCTATGTGTATTCTTTCTTGTAAAGTAGACGATATAAAACCGCCATGCTTCTGCTCTCAACAGAATGGACTTGTAAGGCAAGCATTATAAAAGTGAAATATGAAATGAACCTTCTCTAAGAACACAATTATTTACCATTCTTGAAATAAAAACTCACCTCTTCAATTCTATTTTTAACGGTTCCCATCATAGGATGGTCTGTTTAGTCCCATACACTTCGGTGTCTTTTTTCTCATTTTGGTAATTATAAAACTTACATCTGGGTCTGTCTGGTGTTCCGCTTGATGTTTGATCCTGAAGACTTTATTATAATACGTTTTGGAGTGTTTCCATGACAACAAAATACAGGAGGGCGCTGCTCGGTCGGTAAGGACAATCAAGTCTTTAATTGGTGATGGTTTCACTGAAACAAAGTAAAACGAACTATGTAAACAAATAGTGTAAATCTATTGTTATCGTGGTAGCTTACTTGTTTTATCTTTTTCTTTGTCTTTGTCTGTTTGTCTGTTTCTTGTTATTGTTTTTTGGGAGAGAGTGGGTGTTGCTTTTGTTTTTGGGTTGTTGTTTTTTAATGCAGGTGATTTTACATCCCCATCAACACAATTTAGATCATATTTAGGACGCCTGTAAGGGGCAACTCGGCTAAGAAGGATACAACAGTTCAACATAAGAGTATGTTTACTGTGAATAAAAAAGGCTAATTGTTAATATGGCATTTCATGATATAAAATTTAAACATTTACGTTCCCCTATGTTTGAGGAATTATACGATATCGCTTGCACTTGGAGAATAATGCCATCTTTTCAGAAAACCATTGTCCCTTGTTTCCTCAAATTAATATATCAATAAAAAGTAAAAGACCTGCACTTCTGCTATGTAACAAAGAACGAAACAGAAGATCATTTTTAACCGTCATCCATTAAACTTTTTAATCTTGTAATATCTAGTATCATATTAATCTTGTGATATCATTAGATTTCTATGACGATTAAAGTAGGCCTATTACAATCAGAATGAAATCGAATTGCTATCATAGTACTGATTATGTATCTAGCTTATCTTAAATATTATTATTGTCAACAACAATTGTTTATTTGTCCCATGCGGGTGATTGTGGGTCTGTGTGCGGGTGCAAGAATAGTGTGTGTGTTTGTTATAAACATACTTTGTGGAATAGAATATTTGAGAGAGAGAGTGAAAGTATGTGTGTATAGGTGGCCAAGTGTGTGTTTGTGTGTGT